GCAAAAAAGTTTCCACATCTCAAAAGCGGGTGTCACGGGAGTTGAGTGCCGCTTACAAATCTGTCCGCGGTTCAGTGCCTTTTTCCATTTTGACTGGAGTTGCTGCTCTTTTTGTTCTTCCGTCATACAAGTCACTGCCTCCCAGAAGGAAACGGGCTAAACATTTGTCGCTTTGCCTTTGTATCGTCACTGAGGTGGTGCCAAAAAGACTGGCAGCTTTGTTCTCATCAATGAAAGTCACATAGACAATGCGTGCACCTGTTACGCTCCTTGCCAAGGCTGTTTAGCACTTTGTCTATTACTGCGGCGCATTATACGTGCACATGCGCTAATCCTTCCATCTACAAACAATGCAATTTAAAAACCATGAGGAAGACTGCTGCTTCTGATTGCCGTTCAGAGTAAATGGAAGCAGTCGTCAATGTGTTTGTTATTTACATTTTCTGAGGTGAGTAAAGAGCAATGCAAAAGACAAAACACATAAACTTTTGTCTTCGGCAGATGGTATAATTTCTGCATAACTTCTGCAAAGCTCAGGCCAGCTGACACAAACTTTGGGTGTGGATTTTCTTCACAGAATAAATGTGTTACGAATTGCCCTTGGTTTTTATTATTGCTCCATTATTGGAATCTGCCATCAATGGGGATAAGCAAAAGAATAGATGTATACATGGCGGCGTAATATCACATGATCAAATACATAAAAGCAATAAGTCAAAATATAGTAAACTGACATTAGAATTCTGAATTATATGATCAATTTTAAATATTAAAACATAAAATCATACTCTTTAAGGTGACTGCATGTCAAAGGTGAATGGTTGCGTTGCCATGATAGGAGATGTGTAATATACTTTGTCTGTAATGTGCAATGTTTGGGTTGTTGTGGTGGCAAAGTGCACTCTTTGCTAAGTGCAATTTTTTTAATGATAAGACTGGAAACCTTTTTAGGCTAAAATGTTGGAACTGTGTCAACAAACTAATGCCTTAGAGTTAGGCCATATGGAATCTTTGAATTGACAATGATGTGGGTGTGTTCTGTGGTCTAAATAAATGAGTCTGTGGCAGAAAGGAGTTTACGGTCACGGCACCAAATCAGAGGTGTGCCATGGGCGTGCAAGTATAAATAATTCCTTGTCTGATTTGAATGGTTTGTCCAGGTACTGTTGTTTGAACCAGCTTTAACATAATCATAGGAGATCCAAGTTTGCACAGGAATATTATTTGTATATACAGTCAATCCTAATTATACGTTTATTTTAATAGAAATGTATTTGAATTCTGTGAACTGAAAATGTAAAAAAATACTGTGTTTTAAAGTTCAATTAGTTATGAGATAGTGACTCCACCTGTGCAAGCCTGATCCTGGGGCAAACCTTAGAAGCAAAGCAGGGCATAGCCTGGTTAGTACTGTGATGGGAGACCTCTGGGAATATCAGGTGCCACAATGGGGATGAGGATGATTGGCGTTGGTTGAAAAGGCCGATGGCACGGACAGGTTGCATCACTTCTTTCAGTTTTATCCAAGGCAGCTTTGGCTATAGGAGTTTACCACTATCTTGTATGAAGTGAATGAATAAATGCCATGAGAAGCATTTTTGGATAAGTAGTATGCATTACATTGGGAGCTGCATAAATTCAATGTGATATTACATTTTTTGAAGTAAAAGACACACGGATTATCCCATTTTGATGCAACTGCAATCAGAAAAGCTCAGAGACGTGACAACATTTTCAATCTTTGTCTGATTCAAAAGTTGCAAAGTCTATATACAATGAAGATTCCTGTATCCATAAATCTGCAGTATATGTCTTACCCTAATCCTTCCACTGAAATCAGATTTGTAGAATACAGTAGATTAGAGTCATGTGGTGATCAAACACATGTTATTTTCTCATATGCATTTGGTTACAAGTCCCAGTGGTGTTTCGGAGGGAGGCGGCGTCAGCGTCATCTCATTATCAGTAGCTCTACACACTGGCACACAAGCAGCTGCTGTCTGCACTCAAACTGTGCGGATTTCTACCACCAGAAAAAAATTGTGAAGCGCTGGAATGTACCGCGCCATGATGACTGAAAGAGTCCCAATCTGCAGTCGTGGATAAACGTGACATACAATGACAAATGAATTGAAAAGAAACTGTGTATGAATGTGGTAATGTGGGGGGATTTCTGAAAGGCTGCCATGATCCAACCTGGATGAACTTGAAAGAGGGAGCCAGGAGGAGAAAGTTCCAAAAAGGAAAGTCATGCCAAGGTTTTAGGATCGCTCCCAAGGAATGCATCAGGCTTCACAGCTGCCAGCAAGGCTTTAGCAGAACCAGAATCCACTCAGTGAATTACAAACTTGAGAGTTCAGACTTTTTAGGTACAATAGGTTCCCAAGGCCGTGGGGCAACTTTTGTGTTTGTGTGATAAATGTGAAATGAGAATGGTAAATATGTGAAAATAGAATGAAGAGACAAGAGGAAAACACATTTAATCTTCAGAGCAAATGTCTATAATTGGTATTATTAACATTACATTATATTATATAGTTATCTAAAAAACATAATATCATATTTTGGCCTTTTTGATTTGCAGGGATGTTTGGTTTAGTTTTTCAAGAGAATATAATGTCCTTTATGTCCATCTTTTTAATCTGCTCATTATATACAATATTCCCGGTTTATTAATAAAACTAAATTCTGTCAGTCTGCCCCAGCTCCACCAAAGCGTACGGAGCGTGAAGTATCTTTGAGTGTCCAAACTGCTATATCCAATCCATGCATTATTATCATTAAAAACACAAATGCAACACCTCTAAATGTTGCAATTTTTGGATTATCTTTTTGAGTGTCTTTTTGAGTGTCTCTTTTTGAGTGTCCAACCGTGCGAGTTGAATGTATAATGTGTACCAATAAAAAGGTCAATGGATTTATACAGTGACATATGTTTGACATACACACAGAATCATAAATGTGAGTATTTTTTAGTTTGTGTGATGTGAGACTGCATATGCTTCTGTCAACAAGATCCCTTCACTCATGATTTTTATTGTTAGATGTTTACTTAATTATGCTCAGTATGCTTGACATAAACAGTTGAAATGGCAGTAAAGTTTTGTCAGATGTTTGAGGGCGAACATATGCACTGATGCTGTCGCTTCACTTGTTATTCTTTGTGAGGGAAAACCTGTTCAAATGATTCCTGACAGTTAAAAACAACTTCATGTCGGGTCAGGTAGTTGTAGCAGTAGTATTGCCGTAAATTGGGACTTTATTTTTCCCCATTCGACTACAATATATGATATGATAAGAGCAGGAGTCTCCAACCTTTTTCTAAAATGGCAGAGAACTACTTAAAAAGGGCCAATTTTGTTACAGCTGGAAAAGATTTATTAAAAGTATTAATGGTGAGGGCTTGCCATAGATAAAATACTGTTACTATAAAGAGTAATTATGTATCCTTCATGACTATGTTAGCTTGCATTTACAATAGTTTTGGGCAAATTCATCAATATTTTTTTTAATATTCCGCGTATTTAAGTAATTTCTAAATCCATTGGGAAGCTACTCGCAAGGGGAGCTACTGGTATCTCCCGAGCTATTGGGAGATACCTGAGGCCCCTGAGCTAGAGTATGTGATAGCGCTGGGGGAAAGTATCGTGTGCCAGCCTTCACTGTTGGCTCAGAGTTGAAAGTTGCTGATGCAGACTGTGCAGACTTGGGCAAAAAGCCAAAACTTCTGCTGCGAGACAAGACTTCAGCCTCCATCTGAGAGCTGATAACTATGATCAGAGCACTAAATAAGGTTTTGGTTATTCTGCAGAAGGGCTCTACTCGAAAGGGAAGTTATATTAATCAGGGGTCTGAGCACACCTCACACACTCAACCCCATTCACTCTACCACCTGCTCCCCTCCTCGCCATTTTCTCATTTACGCCGCCCTTCTCTGACCTCTTATTTCTTCTCACGTTCATGTATCAGGTGGTCAAATACAGAGACTAGGGGCTGATCGCTTCCCCAGGTGCCTCAAACCAGCTAAATATCACGTTGCGTAATCATCATCTTCAGCCTGGGTTGGTATCTGTAGTTATTGCTTAAAAGTGCCACATCCCATTTATTTTTCTCCTTGACTCTTCAAATCCTTCTTTGTGAACCTCACTCGGTAAAGAGAGAGAGGGAAACAGGAAAATATAGACCTATTTTCTGTGGCGGTTTTCTACCAAGCCATAGAAAAAGAAAGTGGTCAAAAATAGCTATGTACCAGTACCTATCGGCCTTCATGTCTTGCAACACAAGCTATTTCCAAAACAGTAAACTATATATGCTATGAGCACTACCTTGGGCACAGGTATCCAATGAGAAGAAAACCAACACTGGTTTGGTTTATTGTTATGAATTTGATAATTACTTCCTTCAAGCAAGAGGCTGCAGTCCATTCAGAACAAAAGATCTGTCATTGTTGGAAGCTGGAGTCTGACTTATTTCTCCCAACTTTTTTCTGTTACATTTTGTGAACACATCAGACCACAATATGCCTTTTAATTCAAAAGATATGTTATCCTTTGTACTTAGTAAGAAAGAGCCCTCTGAGTCATTATTTGACACTATCCGAATATCTGATTGGCTGAGTGAGGGAAGTCTTCTCTTTTTCAATGTCTGAAAAAGCTGATATAAAGACATGATAAAGGCCAAAAGATACATGAAAGTGAACATTTGTGATGGAACCAAATTTTTGTGGTTGGAAAGTTAGGGTCCCTAGCTTCAAGTTATAATTTCGAATGTTGCTCCGACTCACCACAACATATTCTCTGGGAATTTTGTTCAGTGACATTGCCAATACAACTTTTATCTTCTGCATCTAAAGTTAAGTAGAAACCCGAGTCGACCTTGGGTGAGAATCTCCCAGACACAATAAGCTTTGTTTCTATATGGTCCTGTACTGTTTTCCCAACTTACTTTGAATATCACACTCACAGTCATCCCCTCAGAACTGTCTTCTCTGCTGCAAAAACATGCTGCAGACTGAGCCAAGGCACCAGGAGCTGTCTCACCCCCTGCAGACAGACCCGCCAACCTTACACTGGGTACGCAAAACACTCCACTATACACTAGTGCCAGGAGAGAATGAAGAGAGGAGGCAGGCTTCCCGATACCTGGACGGCAAAAGGAAAGCTGTAGATGACTGGGACCATTTTGCTTGTTGCCCTTCACCATTGAAAAGGTAGTGGGAATATAGCCAACATCCAGGGACTAAAAGAAAGCAAGAAAATAGTCAATTCTGAATAGTGTTTTTGTTTTGTTAGCTTAGCAGGTAAGGCAAGGCAAGTTTATCTGTAGATTACAAGATAAAATCCCTCAGTTGTATGCACATATAAAAATAACTGTTTATAATCTAGATTCTAACATTGTCAGAGAAGAATCCTGTCTGACATTTTCAGGAAGATTGTTCCAGATTTTAGCTGCGTAAATCAGAGGCCCTGTTTAGATGGAGATGCTGGGAAACGCTGCGAAGCAATTAGCAAAAACTACCAGGCTCCTGCACAGCGTTTAGACGAAAATGGAAAACAATGTAGTTCTAGCGCCCGGCCAGAAGTGGGCAGTGGAACTTTACAACACGACACACGCGACCCCCAGCAGTATCCTCCTCGGGCCACCGCAAAGACGTTAAAGAATGCACCAACATCATTCTGCATTTTACAGCAGCTGCAAAAATGGAAACTGAAACTACAGCTTTGCGTGGTTTGGTTTGGACGAACAAAGGAGTAGAATTCTCCTCCGTGTAGCGTTAGAAGCACACCTAGCATTAGTTGATACGTCGCCAATGTTGGGTTTGTTTGTTCTCGGCTACTGCGCCTGTCCAAATTCACGTGCAGGGAAGTGCTGAGGTCATAGCAGGCAGGGAATTCACACCTTTTTCCTTACACTGCTGTGGAAAAGCCCCCCGCTGAGCAGCGCATCACTCTGGAGGCTGTTTCTTGCTTGTGTTTTGACCCGTCTGAAACACCGTCTTCATCTAAACGGAAGGGCAAACCGATACCCAACTCTACTATTTTACTGTTGCAGCGTCTCTGTGTAAACACCACCTGAAATGCAGACTCTCCATGTTTAGTTCTAACTCTGGGCACCAGCAGGAGGCCCGTCCCTGTGCTCTTCAGAGTCCGAGCTGGTTCATATGGCACCAACATGTCACAGATGTACGTAGGTGAGAGGCCATGGAGAGACTTGCACACAAGCAAATCTGATTTAAAGGTTATCCTCTGAGGTCAATATACAGTATGGTAGTGGTTGATACAACATTTTCTTCCTTGGACTATTTTGATACTTTGCAATAGTGTGAACCCACCCCATTATAGCCAATTGGAGATGTGTGGTTCCTTCACAATAGAGCTCTTATAAAACGCCTTACTCATCAACTTTGAGGACAAAATGTTCACTGGAAACTAATGCAGCCACCCAGTTAAAGTACAAAGATAAAGAGACACACTATTCTTGTCAATGGTCTTAATTGCAACACTGCTCAAAAAGGATGTGTTGTAAATTGAATTTACTAGTACAAGAAACATTGGGCAGTTACTGGACAACTCACAAGCAAGTATGAACTCATGTTGGTTTGGGATATGTTATGATAGTTGATTGCATTTTATCACAAAAATGCAAATAGAGGATGGAAAAAAGACAACTGTGCATAAACTTCAATTTCAAAATACCATTAGAGAAACCAACAGGTCAAAGTATAGTTTGTTCCTCAAGACACTGTAGAAATAACTCAGATTTTCAACGATCATCCTTCACAAAACCATTTCAACTGTGTCCAACAATCCCCCGCAGAAAGTTGTAAAGGGCTGCCCTCTACTGGCGATAATGGGACACGTCCAAGATTATGAACAGCTTGAATGTATACAATAAATGCATTAAAATTCCAAGGTGGTTCTAATACACTAATCAACACGTGGCAATGGAAACTAAACCAAGTCAATATAATAAAGACAAAGGGGGAAAAGGGAATCACGTGATGATCACGTGCAATCGAATGCAACCTACTCTCTGATCACTTTCACTTTCTCTTTACAAGAATTGGCTGCGTAGCTCACAGTGAATTTGTAAACATCAGGGTTTTCTCGAAGTCACACAGGCTGGTGGGATATAATAAGGTAAGTATGATACTAATAGACTCACTAAATTAATTATGTAGGAGTAAATTAAATAGGATTGGTGTCTCCCCAATCCCAAATCGAGGTTGAATGTTGTATTTGATGCGAATTTTCAACAGACGATTTATTTATATATGTTTTAATAATCAGGTACCAATCACCATGGAGACTATACTGGAGAAAATAAAGAAAATTAGTGAACGTGCTGCCGAAGAACTGAGAGGTAAATTCCACATTCCACATTACATATTATTCCTACGTGCAAAAGCGTATTAAAGGCATATTAACTGACTATAATAAAGTCCAATTAACTGACTTTTGTGCATATCAGAAGAAGGATTTATATCAGATACTGAAATAAGGACTCTGGACCGACAGGACCTCTGCGAGTTACTTCCTGGTAAAGCTCAACTCAAAGTGAGAAAGGAAATATTTCAACTCATTAGTCAGGTACCACCACAAAGAAACACAAAGGTAACTGTTCATTGAATCTCCTGTAATAATGTCTTCTTAATTACTTGCATCTAAAGTCTAATGTACTGTTTCTAGCATTCAATCGATGATATAAATATAAGAGGATTAATTCCACCGGACTCATTTGAAAGTAATACATAATGCTACTTCACTACTACAGTATTATTCAGTATGTGTCATCTGTCGTCTAATAAAAACAACCCTAATTGGTAATTTTTTTTCCCTAATAGATGCTCCCTCTGAACAAGGGCCACTTCTGGAATACCTTCAGCTTCTCAAAGACCACAGAATATACTTAATGTATGTGAAAGGTTTAATTGAGGCCCAAATCGATACATTGGAAAGAGCTCGTCGAAATTCTCCAGATGAGTCAAACTACCAAGAATATGCTACAAACTCAGGTAGACCGGTAATCACATCCTGCATAGTGAAAGAAAATACATGCACAAGTATATATATTTATGTTGATTTGAATTATTTATTTTACTCCCTTCAGACGATCCACCAATACATTTTTCACCCCCAGAGGCAAGTTCGGCTGCACCACCGACTTGGTCTGTATCAAATTTGTGGCCAAAGCAGCAAAGACAAGGTTAGACATCTGCATGACTCACTGTAGAGGTGCATTCCTGGTGAAGTAAAGTGGCCCTCATACTATAAAGTTTGGACACCCCTGATTTAGATGAAGCCAAGTTAAAAGCAAACGGCCACCATGACAGTTGAGGAATGCACCTTGAGGCATTGTTTAATTGAGGCCCAAATCGATTTATTGGAAAGAGCTCGTCGAAATTCTCTAGATGAGTCAAACCACCAAGAGTATGCTACAAATTCAGGTAGACCGGTAATCACATCCTGCATAGTGAAAGAAAATACATGTACAAGTACAGTATATATATATTTATTATATGTTGATTTGAATTATTATTTATTTTACTCCCTTCAGACGATCCACCAATGAATCGTTCACCCCCAGAGGCAAGTTCGGCTGCACCACCGACTTGGTCTGTATCAAATTTGTGGCCAAAGCAGCAAAGACAAGGTTAGACATCTGCATGACTCACTGTAGAGGTGCATTCCTCAGCTGTCCTGGTGGTGACCCGCTTTTAGTGGAGTAGTATCAATTCTGCTTCTTGCGTTAGATACTGTTTGTTTTTATTGACGATTTGAGATTATACCTTAAACCTTAACCAAACCAAACAAAAAAATCAAAACGCCACTTTAGTCATTGTCAGGTTGGCTTTACACAGTGGAGAGAATGTGCATTTTAGGCACTTTATTTGTCTTATGAGTGACCAAGGAAATTCAAATAATAAATAATAAACTAAATTATCTTAAACAAATCAAATCAGCAAAGTTTAAATAACTGAATTAGAATCAGTTGGTAGAGCAATGGTCTTTGGGCCGAATGGTCATGAGTTCGAGACCTAAATGACTGATGACTGCTGTCGTTGTGTCCTCGGGCAAGACACTAAACCCCACTTTGCCTGAAGCCCCCCCTGAAAAACATTAATTTAGTTCTTAAAATCATGTTGTAACTTAGCTGAGTGAAGTCACTTGCTTGTTTCACATTTAAATGGAAAGTTTAATGAGAAATCCATCCATTTTCTTCTGCTTCATCCGTTGCCGGGTCGTGGGGCAGCAGTCTAAGCAGAGACGCCAAGACCTCCCTATTCAAACACACTTCCTCCAGCTCGTCCAGGGGGACCCCAAAGCGTTACCAGGCCAGCTGAGAGACATAGTCCCTCCAGCGTGTCCTGGGTCCTCGGCTCTGTTAAATGTGAACCACTATAGACAATGTTATACCTAAATCTGAATCCAGTCAATCCGTGCCCCTGGTGAAGTAAAGTGGCCCTCATACTATAAAGTTTGGACACCCCTGATTTAGATGAAGCCAAGTTAAAAGCAAACGGCCACCATGACAGTTGAGGAATGCACCTTGAGGCATTGTTTAATTGAGGCCCAAATCGATTTATTGGAAAGAGCTTGTCGAAATTCTCTAGATGAGTCAAACCACCAAGAGTATGCTACAAATTCAGGTAGACCGGTAATCACATCCTGCATAATGAAAGAAAATACATGTACAAGTACAGTATATATATATTTATTATATGTTGATTTGAATTATTATTTATTTTACTCCCTTCAGACGATCCACCAATGAATCGTTCACCCCCAGAGGCAAGTTCGGCTGCACCACCGACTTGGTCTGTATCAAATTTGTGGCCAAAGCAGCAAAGACAAGGTTAGACATCTGCATGACTCACTGTAGAGGTGCATTCCTCAGCTGTCCTGGTGGTGACCCGCTTTTAGTGGAGTAGTATAAATTCTGCTTCTTGCGTTAGATACTGTTTGTTTTTATTGACGATTTGAGATTATACCTTAAACCTTAACCAAACCAAACAAAAAAATCAAAACGCCACTTTAGTCATTGTCAGGTTGGCTTTACACAGTGGAGAGAATGTGCATTTTAGGCACTTTATTTGTCTTATGAGTGACCAAGGAAATTCAAATAATAAATAATAAACTAAATTATCTTAAACAAATCAAATCAGCAAAGTTTAAATAACTGAATTAGAATCAGTTGGTAGAGCAATGGTCTTTGGGCCGAATGGTCATGAGTTCGAGACCTAAATGACTGATGACTGCCGTCGTTGTGTCCTCGGGCAAGACACTAAACCCCACTTTGCCTGAAGCCCCCCCTGAAAAACATTAATTTAGTTCTTAAAATCATGTTGTAACTTAGCTGAGTGAAGTCACTTGCTTGTTTCACATTTAAATGGAAAGTTTAATGAGAAATCCATCCATTTTCTTCTGCTTCATCCGTTGCCAGGTCGTGGGGCAGCAGTCTAAGCAGAGACGCCAAGACCTCCCTATTTAAACACACTTCCTCCAACTGGTCGAGGTCTCCCTGGACTAACCCTAGTCCAGGGGGACCCCAAAGCGTTACCAGGCCAGCTGAGAGACATAGTCCCTCCAGTGTGTCCTGGGTCCTCGGCTCTGTTAAATGTGAACCACTATAGACAATGTTATACCTAATTTTAAAGCTCAGAGCAGAACCCTGAATCCAGTCAATCTGTGCCCCTGGTGAATTAAAGTGGCCCTAAAGTGGCTCTCAGTGGTGGTTTGGACACCCCTGATTTAGATGAAGCCAAGTTAAAAGCAAATGGCCACCATGACAGTTGAGGAATGCACCTTGAGGTAGGGTATGCCGAATATTTTCACATTTAGACTACTGTATGTAACAGGTACAGAACCAAAAGGCATTTTCAATTTTGGAATGAAATTACAAATGGTGGTGGTGAAGTCATATTTCTCAACTCAACTTATTAATACACATAGGCCTAAATTTTTATTTTTATTTAAATCTTTATTTGTAAACTTTTCCTTTTCAGCTCATGTCACGTACAAGATGGTGGTTAGTGGTAAAACACTGGGCACGCATTTGAAAGTGTTGGAAAAGTTAAATGGTCCGATTCCAGGACACTCTGAGAGTTTGCAGCTGCAAAAAACCAATGACGAAGATTGTCAAGTCATCATTGTCTTCTGTCCCGTGGTCTCCCGCGCAGGGACTGATGTGGAAGCAGCATTACGGGAAGTTTGCGGTAAGAATAATGCGGCACTTATTAAGATTAAATATTCATTATCTGTGTTGGGAAGTTACCAATAATTCAAAGGCAGACTACATAAAAAAATACTGTAAAATGGCTTCAAATTTAATGGAATTAGTGTTGTAATGGAATTTAACTCAAATTAGTGGTTGATTAATGTTTACTAATGTTTTTATCAATGTTTCTTGAAAAAAATACCTGTTTTAAGAAGTACTCTGATTGAACAAGTATAAACGTGTTACAGCATACATTTTAAAACAGTTATTATGCAAGAGCAGAAATCTCTTTCAATATAACTTTCTCTTGATGTTTCTCTCCAGGTGACAAACCCATCATTCTTGTTGCGATGCACCATATGCATTCTCCATCAGGTCTTCCACCACCAAGAACCAACTCCAAGGTGGTGCTTGGTGTTAATGTTTTCTTTCACGAGACTGCAAATGGCCTGCTTCCTTGCTCACAAAACGAGTCTGCCCTGAATGATATGAAAGTTAAGTTGCATGATTACAGCAAAAAAAGAAGTTGTCTTAACCTAAAAAGGGGAACTAAATACTAGTCTGACCAGCCAGAACCATGCTATTTCACAATAATCCAAAAGTATTTAAAAATTCCTTGTATGAAAGTGCAGAAGGCCTGGCTGGTCAGGCAGATGTTCTTCCAACCATATTAGTTTTGAATTAAATCAATAAAAGTTCCAGGGAAATGTGTATGTGTGGATGTTGTTTAGTAAATTATATGCAAATATATATCAGATTCTGAGTAATGCAATTCAGGTCCTATTTGCAATTGCCTGTATATTATTTACCAAGCTATTATGAAAACATGTATGTTCTTCAGAACAGACGTCATACCTTCTATAAACATAACATTTATGGTTGAAGTTGCCACAATGTTTATTTCAGCGTCTTGATTGTATTTTCCATTAAATTGCATTCCTCATTGGGATTACTTTTTTAAAACTACTTTGTATGATACATTTGGTGGCTCAAATTCAAGTTGCTTATTTTAAAAAGCATTCGGTCAGCGAGCCCCCGATTATTCTTTTCCTCAATATGAATGACATAGCCTCATTTGTTAATGGGTGATTTGTGCCTACGTTTAATTGAGTTACTTTTTGGACCGTCCCCACCCTTTTGTGTTAAACAAATAATGTAAACTAAATATTTTATGTTCTATACAGCCCAGCACCTCACAACTTGGTGCAAAACAGTACTCCCAATATTCAACAGGGGGCAGCATTGCGTCTTTACACCATCAAAACCGGAAGTAAGATTATTTACTAACTTAACTCGAGGATCATTTTTTTAAGCTACCACAGCCTTGTTCTATCATATGAAGGGATACATATATATTTTTTACGACCGCATTTATACACTTTCATATAGGTTATAAGAAAAATAACATTGGGCGTGACCTGTTATTATGGTCTGTCACGAGTCGGTGCTTATTTGGCTAACTGCTAGCTCCCCTGATTTATTGCATTGATGATTCGTTTCAACACGTGACACCGCCACTAAATACGTGTGTTAAGTTAATTTCAGCGTCGTGGTAGTGTCATGCTAGTCTATCGTGCAATTTGTAGCAGTGTCTTGACGCATATAAAGAGTTTTGAGAAGTTTATAACACCCCATAAACGAGAAGTTTTGAGGTCGTGTGTGCCATCCAGAGTCTACACACCGGTTTGGACTAGAGGTAATTTATACATTGTAAAAGCTGCGTGAGTGTGTTTCATTTGTTATATTTACTTTTGCTTGATTCACCCAGAGACCTTTGGGCTAGGTATGTTATCTTCATGTGTCACAAGTGAGGGCATCACAGCAGCAGCAGCACTTCCCACAGAGTTCGGTAAAGTTAGCTTGATATTCACAGATTCGGACTTCCGCGGTGAATATCTTACGAAAGCTACGTTGTTAAACGAAAGTAATTGTGCCAAAATGATCACCTCTACATGGGCTAACTACTACAACATCGATTTTTCTAATCCAATGCGCTGTTTTAATCAGAGAAATCCATTGAATCCAATGCGCCGCAAGTGCCGAGAAAAGCACTTAGGGAGCGTCAACAAATGCCAATACCAGCTGTGTAAACGAACAATAGTTTTTATTTTAAGCCAAGTACACGCACTAAACTCTCAAATACTATAAATAGCTACCATATCTAACTACTACAACCTTTGTTTTCAGCATTTGTTTCTTTTTTGTATTTTTTATGAATAAATAGGATTTAATATGAATATGAATTTTGAATAACTTTTTTTCAAAGAGGGGCGTGGTCACCAAATTCTCAGGTATGATCAATAACTGCCATATCTAACTACTACAACTTTTGTTTTCAGCAGAAATATCTTTTTTATATTTTTTATGATAAAATATGAATATGAATTTTGAATAACTTTTTTTCAAAGAGGGGCGTGGTCACCAAATTCTCAGGTATCATCAATAACTGCCATATCTAACTACTACAACTTTTGTTTTCAGAAGAAATATCTTTTTTATATTTTTTTATGATTAATATGAATATGATTTTTGAATAACTTTTTTTCAAAAAGGGGCGTGGTCACCAAATTCTCAGGTATCATCAATAACTGCCATATCTAACTACTACAACTTTTGTTTTCAGAAGAAATATCTTTTTTATATTTTTTATGATTAAATATGAATATGATTTTTGAATAACTTTTTTTCAAAAAGGGGCGTGGTCACCAAATTCTCAGGTATCATCAATAACTGCCATATCTAACTACTACAACTTTTGTTTTCAGCAGAAATATCTTTTTTATATTTTTATGATTAAATATGATGAAATATGACTACAAATCTTGAATAACTTTTTTTCAAAAAGGGGCGTGGTCACCAAATTCTCAGGTATCATCAATAACTGCCATATCTAACTACTACAACTTTTGTTTTCAGAAGAAATATCTTTTTTATATTTTTTATGATTAAATATGAATATGATTTTTGAATAACTTTTTTTCAAAAAGGGGCGTGGTCACCAAATTCTCAGGTATCATCAATAACTGCCATATCTAACTACTACAACTTTTGTTTTCAGCAGAAATATCTTTTTTATATTTTTATGATTAAATATGATGAAATATGACTACAAATCTTGAATAACTTTTTTTAAAAAAGGGGCGTGGTCACCAAATTCTCAGGTATCATCAATAACTGCCATATCTAACTACTACAACTTTTGTTTTCAGAAGAAATATCTTTTTTATATTTTTTTATGATTAAATATGAATATGATTTTTGAATAACCTTTTTTCAAAAAGGGGCGTGGTCACCAAATTCTCAGGTATGATCAATAACTGCCATATCTAACTACTACAACTTTTGTTTTCAGAAGAAATATCTTTTTTATATTTTTTATGATTAAATATGAATATGATTTTTGAATAACTTTTTTTCAAAAAGGGGCGTGGTCACCAAATTCTCAGGTATCATCAATAACTGCCATATCTAACTACTACAACTTTTGTTTTCAGCAGAAATATCTTTTTTATATTTTTATGATTAAATATGATGAAATATGACTACAAATCTTGAATAACTTTTTTTCAAAAAGGGGCGTGGTCACCAAATTCTCAGGTATCATCAATAACTGCCATATCTAACTACTACAACTTTTGTTTTCAGCAGAAATATCTTTTTTATATTTTTTATGATTAAATATGAATATGATTTTTGAATAACCTTTTTTCAAAAAGGGGCGTGGTCACCAAATTCTCAGGTATGATCAATAACTGCCATATCTAACTACTACAACTTTTGTTTTCAGAAGAAATCTCTTTTTTATATTTTTTATGATTAAATATGAATATGATTTTTGAATAACTTTTTCTCAAAAAGGGGCGTGGTCACCAAATTCTCAGGTATCATCAATAACTGCCATATCTAACTACTACAACTTTTGTTTTCAGCAGAAATATCTTTTTTATATTTTTATGATTAAATATGATGAAATATGACTACAAATCTTGAATAACTTTTTTTCAAAAAGGGGCGTGGTCACCAAATTCTCAGGTATGATCAATAACTGCCATATCTAACTACTACAACTTTTGTTTTCAGAAGAAATATCTTTTTTATATTTTTTATGATTAAATATGAATATGATTTTTGAATAACCTTTTTTCAAAAAGGGGCGTGGTCACCAAATTCTCAGGTATGATCAATAACTGCCATATCTAACTACTACAACTTTTGTTTTCAGAAGAAATATCTTTTTTATATTTTTTATGATTAAATATGAATATGATTTTTGAATAACTTTTTTTCAAAAAGGGGCGTGGTCACCAAATTCTCAGGTATCATCAATAACTGCCATATCTAACTACTACAACTTTTGTTTTCAGCAGAAATATCTTTTTTATATTTTTATGATTAAATATGATGAAATATGACTACAAATCTTGAATAACTTTTTTTCAAAAAGGGGCGTGGTCACCAAATTCTCAGGTATCATCAATAACTGCCATATCTAACTACTACAACTTTTGTTTTCAGAAGAAATATCTTTTTTATATTTTTTATGATTAAATATGAATATGAATTTTGAATAACTTTTTTTCAAAAAGGGGCGTGGTCACCAAATTCTCAAATATAATCAATAACTACCATATCTAACTACTACAACCTTTGTTTTTTGTATTTTTCTCTTTATATTTTTTGTGATGAAATATGACTACAAATCTTGAATAACTTTTTTTCTAAAAGGGGCGTGGTCACCAAATTCTCAGGTATGATCAATAACTACAATATCTAACTACTACAACCTTTGTTTTTAGCAGAAATACCTTTTTTCATATTTTTTATGATTGAATCTTCAATGGCTTTTTATAAATGGAGAAGAGTCCTTTACGAGGGTTAACAGGAGTATGAATTAGACAGACTCTAATGTTTTAAAACATTTATTAAAGGTTGATTTGTATGTGAAGGTGCGGACCTGTAAAGGAAAAGAGTGTGAGTTAAGGAAAATGAATAAATGTACAACATTTAAATATACTTATCTTTTACTCCCTTGTCTGCCCTCTTTAGGCGTTCCGGCCAAATAAGTCCTGAGGAGCCGGAGCACCTAAAGAGGATTCCGGGTTCATCCACTCTGCAGAGAGGGTGGAGGGGTTTCCTGGGTTTTATCTTTCCAGTTTAGTATAGTTTTAGAATAAATAAATCATTTGTAAATTTAAATAATAATAATAAAAAGAGTGTAAAAGCACTACTTTAATTATTGCTGTAGGGCTGCAGTTAGTATTGCTTAATTACTGTCATATGCTATAAAAGCAGGCCACCAACTCTGAACAGAGAGAGTGTTGCATGACATGCTGTCCAATGTAAATAAACCTGCACCCTGGGTGTGCACTTTGTTCCTCCAACATCTTCATAAGTGCCCATCCTGACATGACAAGTGTCACAATCTTCAATAAATTTTGTTCTAAAAGGGGCGTGGTCACCAAAATCTCAGTTATAATCAATAATTAACATATCTAAGTACTGCAACCTTTGTTTGCAGCATTTATCTCTTTGTTACATTTTTATGATTAATTATCAATCTTCAATAGCTTTTGTTCTAAAAAGGGGGCGTGGTCACCAAATTCTTCAGAATGTGATAAGAGAGCAGTGTTGTGTCCATTGCACAATGGTATGTGATATTTGATAATTGTATATACTATGTGTATTTGCATATTACTCATAAAATAATGAAATGTAATTCCTGTTACAATAGAACATTATTTTATCTCCGTAGCAGTGGAACTGGACCACATCCAGCTTTGTGGAATCAGCTTCAACACCACTGACAAACCCATGAGATATTTTAATTATTGGTTATACCTGAGAATTTGGTGACCACGCCCCTTTTTGAAAAAAAGTTATTCAAGATTTGTAGTCATATTTAATCATAAAAAATATAAAAAAGATATTTCTTCTGAAAACAAAAGTTGTAGTAGTTAGATATGGCAGTTATTGATGATACCTGAGAATTTGGTGACCACGCCCCTTTTTGAAAAAAAGTTATTCAAAAATCATATTCATATTAATCATAAAAAATATAAAAAAGATATTTCTTCTGAAAACAAAAGTTGTAGTAGTTAGATATGGCAGTTATTGATGATACCTGAGAATTTGGTGACCACGCCCCTTTTTGAAAAAAAGTTATTCAAAAATCATATTCATATTTAATCATAAAAAATATAAAAAAGATATTTCTGCTGAAAACAAAAGTTGTAGTAGTTAGATATGGCAGTTATTGATGATACCTGAGAATTTGGTGACCACGCCCCTTTTTGAAAAAAAGTTATTCAAGATTTGTAGTCATATTTCATCATATTTAATCATAAAAATATAAAAAAGATATTTCTGCTGAAAACAAAAGTTGTAGTAGTTAGATATGGCAGTTATTGATGATACCTGAGAATTTGGTGACCACGCCCCTTTTTGAAAAAAGGTTATTCAAAAATCATATTCATATTTAATCATAAAAAATATAAAAAAGATATTTCTTCTGAAAACAAAAGTTGTAGTATTAGATATGGCAGTTATTGATGATACCTGAGAATTTGGTGACCACGCCCCTTTTTGAAAAAAGTTATTCAAGATTTGTAGTCATATTTCATCATATTTAATCATAAAAATATAAAAAAGATATTTCTGCTGAAAACAAAAGTTGTAGTAGTTAGATATGGCAGTTATTGATGATACCTGAGAATTTGGTGACCACGCCCCTTTTTGAAAAAAGTTATTCAAAAATCATATTCATATTTAATCATAAAAAATATAAAAAAGATATTTCTTCTGAAAACAAAAGTTGTAGTAGTTAGATAGGCATATGGCAGTTATTGATGATACCTGAGAATTTGGTGACCACGCCCCTTTTTGAAAAAAAGTTATTCAAGATTTGTAGTCATATTTCATCATATTTAATCATAAAAATATAAAAAAAGATATTTCTGCTGAAAACAAAAGTTGTAGTAGTTAGATATGGCAGTTATTGATGATACCTGAGAATTTGGTGACCACGCCCCTTTTTGAAAAAAGTTATTCAAAAATCATATTCATATTTAATCATAAAAAATATAAAAAAGATATTTCTTCTGAAAACAAAAGTTGTAGTAGTTTAGATATGGCAGTTATTGATGATACCTGAGAATTTGGTGACCACGCCCCTTTTTGAAAAAAAGTTATTCAAGATTGTAGTCATATTTCATCATATTAATCATAAAAATATAAAAAAGATATTTCTGCTGAAAACAAAAGTTGTAGTAGTTAGATATGGCAGTTATTGATGATACCTGAGAATTTGGTGACCACGCCCCTTTTTGAAAAAAAGTTATTCAAAAATCATATTCATATTTAATCATAAAAAATATAAAAAAGATATTTCTTCTGAAAACAAAAGTTGTAGTAGTTAGATATGGCAGTTATTGATGATACCTGAGAATTTGGTGACCACGCCCCTTTTTGAAAAAAAGTTATTCAAAAATCATATTCATATTAATCATAAAAAATATAAAAAGATATTTCTTCTGAAAACAAAAGTTGTAGTAGTTAGATATGGCAGTTATTGATGATACCTGAGAATTTGGTGACCACGCCCCTTTTTGAAAAAAGGTTATTCAAAAATCATATTCATATTTAATCATAAAAAATAAAAAAAGATATTTCTGCTGAAAACAAAAGTTGTAGTAGTTAGATATGGCAGTTATTGATGATACCTGAGAATTTGGTGACCACGCCCCTTTTTGAAAAAAAGTTATTCAAGATTTGTAGTCATATTTCATCATATTTAATCATAAAAATATAAAAAAGATATTTCTGCTGAAAACAAAAGTTGTAGTAGTTAGATATGGCAGTTATTGATGATACCTGAGAATTTGGTGACCACGCCCCTTTTTGAAAAAAAGTTATTCAAGATTTGTAGTCATATTTCATCATATTTAATCATAAAAATATAAAAAAGATATTTCTGCTGAAAACAAAAGTTGTAGTAGTTAGATATGGCAGTTATTGATGATACCTGAGAATTTGGTGACCACGCCCCCTTTTTGAAAAAAAGTTATTCAAAAATCATATTCATATTTAATCATAAAAAATATAAAAAAGATATTTCTGCTGAAAACAAAAGTTGTAGTAGTTAGATATTGTAGTTATTGATCATACCTGAGAATTTGGTGACCACGCCCCTTTTAGAAAAAAAGTTATTCAAGATTTGTAGTCATATTTCATCATAAAAAAATATAAAAAAAGAGGGCAAATGCTGAAAACAAAGGTTGTACAAGTTAGAAGTGTTAGTTATGTATTGTGTCCTAGAGTTCTGTGCGTGTACATGGCTTCAAGTAACAGCTATTGTTCGTTTACAAAGCTGGTATTGATACTTGTTGACGCTCCCTATGCGCTTTTCTCGGCACTTGGATTGAATGGATTTCTCCGCATTAAAACAGCGCATTGGATTTGAAAAATCGATGTTGTAGTAGTTAGCCTAAGTAGAGGTGATCATTTTGGCACCATTACTTTCGTTTAACAACGTTGCTTTCGTGAGATATTCATGGCGGAAGTCCGAATCTGTGAATATCAAGCTGACTTTACACTTGCATCTCCCACCGCCCGCTTCCTGGCCACAGGATCGCTTGACACAGGCAATACCACAACCCCGTTGGCCACCAACTCTGGACGGGAAAGCCTCCCTCAGCTCACCCCACGTAACGCAGGGGACAGTGGGATTTGCATAGTGTCGCGCAATCCTCCACAAAATCTACTTTCCTACACAACTCCAACGCCACGTGCGTTGGCTCAGCCACGAATTGCTTCCAAAATCAAAACGTAGCCATCACTCACCGGTGCTGCTCAGTAAGATCCTCTCCACAACTGGAACCCCTGATGGCCACTCTCCCACTACCCGCACTCACGGACCCGCCTCCTGTGGGATGTGCCAAGCACGCGCCCGCACACAGCTGCGCTCAAAGCTTACGCAACACACACACTCACACTCGCACACGGTGAAAAGAGGTTAGCAGGTGCCTTAACGAACTAAATCAGTGCAAACACAGGTTATTGACCCCGACTCCTACTCAGGAAAAACTTTAACCTAAATATCTTCCTGGGACTCTTGCCGGGCTCGAGGCGTGCAGCCCCCGTCAGAGAACCCACTCCTCCGCCCAGGATTTGTCCCGAAAATAATAAACTAAAAACAAAAAAACGGATGCCCGAAGGAATGGCGAATAACCCGACCAAGCTGGACAACCCCCCTAGTCTAGCTGGGTCAATTTGGAGTTGACTGCCACTGAATGTCACACCGCAACCCACACCACACTCACGACGCGACTCACCCAGAGCGCACGACTCCTGGTGCACACCCAACCGCAGTTCCACTGATCCCGGACCGAGCCCCCACGTATTACGAGGCACCACTAGCGCGCTGAAGTCTAGAGAGTGTGACTCAGTAACACACAAACAAACCAGGGAGTGGGAACCATAGACAGGAAACCGGGTCTAAAAAGTAACAAGGTTTATTTAAAGATAAATAAATGCACAAAAAGTCACACGGGAGTGCAGGCGCATGATCCATGCCCAAGTGGAAGAGAGAGAGACAGGTCTGGGCCAGCTCTTTTAATGCCTCCCAGATGTGATTATACCCACGTGCATCGTTGAAGACGTCAGTGGGAGGGAGTCTGAGGAGGCGAAGCAAGGAGAAAAAAAATACCAAAAACCAAAAGGACTTTGTCCGTAACAGAATGATAGAGAAGTCTGGTCATTTCTGCTTTGACAACTCTCGATCCGGCAACAGACACAGCAAAAGAAAATGGAAATGAGGTCCTGATCTTACCACGTGGGAGAGGAGAATGTCGGATTTTTAATGCTAGTGGCATTGTAGATATACATTAGTATCCATTACAACAAGAACTTGATGAATCTAACTTGTAGATAATGTCAGATGTAATATATTTGTGAAAGAAGCTGCGAATGGCTCTACATTTAGGCTTAGTTCATTCTCCATTAGAAACTTCATGCTGTTGTATTTCATAGATTTTTTCACAGGGTCTGATTCAATCCATGGGACCTGGTGTAAAGACATCCTCAAAACCATAATGGACTTCACGCCTCACAACTGGGCCTCTCACACTCTGTCCTGTTTCCCTGCCCCGCTACAGGTAAAAAAAACCAAAAAAAGAAGACATAACTCTTCAGTCTCAACTTGAGTGGTTCTTTCATACTCCGCTGTGCTATTGATGTTCCTCTCAGGCTTTCTTCAAAGCAAACAATGTACCCCAGGAGTCCCGTTTCAATCTGAAGAAGAATGTTGAGGAGGAGTACAGGAAGTGGAAGTCCATGGCCAACGAGAATGACATCATTACACATTTCTCGATGCAAGGATCCCCTCCGCTGTTCCTGTGTCTGCTGTGGAAGATGCTGCTGGAGACAGACCACATCAACCAGATCGGCTTTAGGTCTGTAAAAAGTGAAACACAGCAAACCGCCACACATTTAAATATTGTCACTACCTTGATTAAAGTTCTATATATATTTTTACATTGTTTCACATCTGGTTTCCCATCACAGTACTAACCAGGCCCTGCTCCTCCTGCTAATATCTCTGGAAATGTAGTTCCATTATGGAATTAAACTTTTTTATCTACCTTTTGAATTAACGTTATTTATTATATTATTTGATACATAGATCCACTCAGGGTGTGTAAACATCGGCTGTGTGGGCATGTTGGCAGTGGCAGTTTGGCTTTATTATCAAACTACGCATACTGTTTCTTTTGTTGATGACCGAAAATGTTTGTTCTTGCATAGTATTTGGGGTTAGAGCTACCATAAACCAAGCCCCGGGTCTCCAATGGGGACAATTGTTGCTCACGCTGATTGTCCATTATGAAAGCAGAATTAATGTCACTTGAAGCTCTCACTTGGGTTGCCATGTAATTCCTATACACTATATACTCTATTGTTATACATAATCAGGTACTTCTGTTCCAAGCATATACCATCAGTGCAATCTACTCATCTTCAATACTGAGCTCTGTTAAGTAACCAGCAGATGGTGATGACACTCACACAATGTTTTAAATTTGCAGTGCATCTTATTACTCCCACTTAGTAAAGAAATTATGCAAAATATTACAGCCATAATTATGTTGACCATCTTTATCTAGATTACAATTACAAAGCTCAGTGCAACATTTAGAAACCATATGGATATTATTTTGTGATCTTCATGGTGCAAAGAAATAACATTACATTGGGGACCGTGTTGAAGCAATTTCCATCTGATGTTGAGGCATTTCTGAATGTCTGTAATTGGCCCAAAGGGGCTGTCACTCCATCGCTCTCTAAACACCATCTGTTTAGTTAATAGTTCCGGGGGGAGTATGTGGTGATGTTGCTCCGTGATTTGGCTGAAAGCATCTTGTCCTCCCCCTCCGCAGAGTGCTGGAGCACATCGGAGCTCGTGCACTGGTGGCTCACGTGCGTACTTTCGCAGACTTCCTGGTCTACGAGTTCTCCACGTCGGCCGGAGGGCAGCAGCTCAACAAGTGCATCGAAATCCTCAACGACATGGTCTGGAAGTACAACATCGTCACGCTGGATAGACTCATTCTCTGCTTGGTAATTACACACTTTCACTTCCTAAAGGCAACACAACCACAGTTTGAAAACCTTCAACATGGCTTCCACAAATGTTTTGATGAAAAATTTGCAATAGGGGTCCTTAACCACATACGACGGTAATACACAATAGATATGGATTTAAAAGTGGGCAGGAGAAAAAAAGAAAGTATTGGTCTCTCAAACATAGAACTATATGTCGGTGTATGAACTGTTGTGACAGACCTGGCCCATCTCGCATTTCGTCTATTTGTGGCAATCCAAATCCATTTATGTCAAGGTCTGGTTGACGTGCAATTTGTTTGTGTCTGCAGGCAATGCGTAGCCATGAAGGAAATGAGGCCCAGGTCTGCTACTTCATCATTCAGCTGCTCCTGTTGAAACCAAATGACTTCAGGAATCGGGTGAATGACTTTGTGAAGGAGAACGCTCCGGAGCACTGGCTGCAGAGTGACTGGCACACAAAGCACATGAGCTACCACAAGGTCTGCACCCAACCTGTATCATTATGAGCTCCTGGCGCTAACTCACAACGACACAGCAGCAAGGAGTGGGGAAGAAATGTCTTAGATGTGTGGGCTGGAATACAGGAGCAGGGAGGTAGTTCTTGTGCGTGTTGGTGAGGTAGCTCCTGTTTATTTTGTCATCTAGTAAGTAAACCGTGTTCAGGTAAAGAGTTTTAAAAGTGGAATACCAGTTCAATGTTTTTGAAAATAGAGATATGTATGATTCAGGGATTTTGAGGAGGTCTGTGAATGATCTTTGCACTAAATAGTATAAGGTTGGAGCAACATATATACAACTTTATTATAGTTTTATGAGTTTTCATCAGGTCTTCTTAGTAGGTTTTTCTTTCTTCTATACCAGAAAATTGTAAGATAGTGATTTTTTTTACCTTAACATGTTTTGATGACGTGCTGTTCTTCCCAGACGCAGTCACTCAGCCACATAGGTTGCTATACTATCTTACAATTGGCTGGTATAGAAGAACCATATAGGTGTATTATAAATGTTAACCATGCGCAGTATCTCCATGAAAGCATAGAGAACTGAAGAAAATGACAATCGTCTGGGATCGTGTTGACAGACTGAAGACGAACAAAGATGTTACAGAATGCATGTGATATTATACAGGAAGAATCATAGACCGTCCATTCAGCAGCTGACAACGTGCCAGTGGTTTCAAACTTGAGATAACCAAAAAAAGTAGTGGAAAAGTACTGCCTTATATACTGCATATTGTTAGAATGATGAGTTTGACTTAAGTGTCATGAAATCTCCAAAGAACTTCTAAAGACATCTGCTTCTTTTAGAGTTTAATATATTTTTCTCTCACTTGGTTTGAATTTGCAACATTAACTTTTGTTTTCCTGTGTACATTGTGTTGCTAAGAGTAGTTTTCTGTGTATTCAACAGAAATACCCAGAGAAGTTGTACTTTGAGGGCCTGGCCGAACAGGTGAACCCCCCCATGCAGCTGCAGCCTCAGTACCTTCCAATCTACTTTGGAAATGTGTGTTTGCGCTTCCTCCCCGTTTTTGACATCGTCATCCACCGCTTCCTGGAGCTTCTCCCTGTTTCGAAATCTCTGGAAACACTGCTGGATCATCTGGGCGGCTTGTACAAGTTTCACGGTGAGATAAACTGGTTCTATGCTGCTGGCCAAGACTTAAACCTGCACTTTGTAGGTTTTTGGTAGAGGTTGCACAGCCTGATAGTAAATTTTTGATCATAACTAATAGTAGATGTATGTTAGGGCTTGGTGATCTGACTAATTTCTGACTGATATTGACTCATTTTGATTTTAATTAAATGCTTAAACTAAAGACAGAATAACTGGTTTGATGATAAAAATATTGTTTTTGTCAATCTTAATTGGTTTTTTACTTGGGCTGGATGATAAACCCATATAATGATATCACAATATGAGAGGAATAATCACAGTAGAGATACAATTCATAATATTAATAACGCTGTGGAAAACTTTATAAAAAAAATATAAACAAATTAGGGCTGGACAATAAATCAAATTTAGGCAATTGATTTTGAAAATATCGAATTTGTGAAAAATGTGAAAATCGAGAAATCAAATGAAGGATATTCTGTGAGTTCCAGCAGCACATGAATTATACTTGCAATATCAGCAAGACTTTTATAATACATATTGGGGGAAACAAAATATAAATGGTTTTGAAACTTGATTATTGAGCGGAAAGATCAAACAATATTTTTAAGGGCAAACTTTAATGAAAATCGATTTAAAATCAAAATCGTCCAAAGCAGGAAATAGAATTGAGATTTTACTTTTTTGCCATATCGCCCAGCCCTAAAACAAATCTATGTTATATATAATTCTTAATACTCTCAATTGTTTGGTTCGACCACTCGTTTTCCCATAAATGTATTTCGCAAACAGTCAGCCAATCCAGCTCTCAAGATAAAAGGTTTTATATTAAGATACGCACAGCAAGGATGGTTTGGTTTGTTCACAACATGTTATTTATAATGATTATGTATAAGACTCTTTCTGTTGGGACAAGCAAAATGTCTTCAGTATTTTATCACCCGACTCTACTATGTACATTAGTATCAGGCCAATCTCAGGGAATTGAGCTAATGCTGTCATCCAAATCTGATGAGAGAGATTTGTGTCTTTAGTTCAACCTCATGTGAAAAAAAAAACAAGGAAGTTGTGGTGAGTTCTTTGTTTGCTGTTACGCAGATCGCCCGGTGACTTACTTGTACAACACCCTTCATTACTATGAGAGACACCTGCGCGACCGGACAAACCTGAAGAGAAAGCTGGTTCATGCCATCATGTCCTCTCTGAAGGTATCACTGCATCAATCACCACGCTCCAATCCTTTAGTCTTTACACTTTTATACTTCCTTGTTTTGTCTGCTACAGGACAACCGCACCCCTGGTTGGTGCTTAAGTGAGACCTACCTGAAGTGTGCCATGAACCCCCGAGAAGACAATGTGTGGATCCCAGACGACACGTACTATTGCAAACTCATTGGACGCCTGGTGGACAATATCCTTCTTTGCATTTAACCCCAGTGCAATACCAGTGTCTTTGATATGTCTTTCCCCGACAACAGTTCAAAGGGAACATATAAGAGACAAATTACCAGCACCCTTGCCTTTGTCTATTTATGGCAGCAATGTGTAAATGACAGTTGAAAAAAATAATAGTAATCATGTACAATTAATAATATTAATAATGCATAGTTATTATATAGCTTTTTATTGGACACTCAAAAACATTCATTCACACCATACACCGAGGTGATAAGCCACACTGCCCTGGGACACACACACCAGACTTCTTCTTTCTTTAGCGTTTGCTTTGCGTGCTTAGCCATAGAACAGCATCTTCTTCAGCAAGGTGTAGGGCCGGTAGTCCACCGGTAAAATGAGTCAGTGGACAGTCGTTCACAATGTGTGCCATAGTCTCTGGAGCACCACAGCTACATGTTGGGTCAGTGGCTTGACCCCAACGGACAAGGTTTGTCGCGCAGCGACCTTGACCTGTTCGGAACCGGTTCAGCGTCTTCCATTGTTGTCGTGGCAGGTCGAAGCCGGGAGGGCGGGCAGATGGCTCGGCTACGAGGGAGCGGTTCACAGCATCTGCTGTTGACCACTCGGCACTCCATGCCGAAATGGCTGTCCAATCCTCTGGCGGTGAATCTAGCCAGACTGGATGTCTCGAAGTAAGGCGCGCTACTGGGTGTGACGTGATATCCGCATTGAGAGGGATTCGAACGTCTGTACGGACCTTGGCCAATAGCTTGGCTGTTGCTTCCTTTCGACGAAGGTGTGGTGGTGGTTAGGGTTTAATCCCGGGATACGGGATTCCCGGGAAATCTGATGAAAACTATTTCCCGATTCCCGGGAAATGTTATGACGGGAAACGGGAAATGAAAGTAAAAAAAAAAATACAGTGCGCTCCTATTATAAAGCACGTGTATTGTTGTTCAAAGTTCAAACATATTTCATTTACAATCAACATGTCTACAGCTGAGAGGATGGCTCATGAATTGTGTTTTTGACAACAAATATGGGTCTTAATCGCGCTAAACCACGACTTGTAATGAGGCCAGGCTCAGGGTACGGGGCACATGTGAGCCCAGAATTTGGTTACGTCCAATTCTATCAGAAAGCTCCTTTCTTTTTTTCCATCTGCTAAGGGCAGCAACAGGTTTGGCTAACATACAGATAACACTTTTTTAAAATCATATAAAATGCATTTAGGGTAATGTTCTGCTTACAATGACGATAGGAATGATAAGGAAGAGAGGAGAAGGGTAAGAAGGTTGATATTAGAAATTGGATGCGCCCGAGAGCCGGCTGCAGCGAACACACAGGAGTTTATGGAGGTGGCACCCGTTTTGTTTTACGCTTTAAAACTTTTTGGGCTTATTTCCAAATGGGGGATTACATATCTGCGCTCAAACTATTATCTGGACTTAAACATGAAACTGGTCTGAACCGAAGTGGTCTGTGCTGTTCATTAATAACTAAGGTAAGACCCATAACACAATTGGAAATGTGCCTTTTACGAACTTTTGCGTTTTGTTTGAGCAAACAATGCGGGCATGGAAAACATTCTGCTGTAGCCAAACTAATTGTGAATAAGCCGCTCTGCAGGTTCTGTTGATTTATATGATATATGTTCATCTGACAGGGCTGAAGTCAGTGCCTCCAAACCACACGTCACTGGTCGACAAGTGGATTGCGCAGACATTTAGAATCTCATAGTAGTGAAATTCCTGAAGAAAGCCCATCAACAAAACGTCTGAAAACGCTATGGCTACTTTAGCAAAGCTAGCAAGTCACTTGGTGAAACACTAGTGGAGATGGCAGCTTTTGTTGGATTATATATTTGAGTGATATCACACATTACTTGGGCTAAAAACAACAACTACAAACAACAGCTATTTCCCGGGATTTCCCGGGAAACGCGCCGTCTTTTCCCGGGATTTGATACGTCTCATTTTCGGGAAAAATATTAAACCCTAGTGGTGGTATGTTGCTGAGTACCGGGAGCCATGGTAGTGGAGTAGAGCGTAGCGTTCCGGTGATGGTGCGCATAGACGTGTTTAGTTGTATGTCAACTAGCCTGGTGTGGGACGATCTTGACCAAACTGGAGAACAGTATTCAGCCGTCGAGTAACACAACGCAAGTGCCGTAGTTTTTAATGTCTGGGCACTCGCACCCCAGCTTGTCCCAGCTAGTTTACTGAGCAGATTGTTCCGAGTGCTGACCTTCGCTGCTGTTTTCTTCAGATGCTCGTGATATATCAGCGATCTGTCCAAGGTAACGCCCAGGTAAACTGGGTTTGGGTCATGCTTGATCCGTTGCCCCTTTAGGTAGACGTTTAACTCAAGGCGGGCCTTTGCATTGTACAAATGAAAGACACTGGATAGTGTTTTTGTGGCACTTGGCTGGAGCCGCCACTTAATGAGGTACTAACTCATTGGGCGTACGACCTTGGATTCCAAGGCATATGTCATCAGCATATATGAACTTGCGTGACCGGGTCACTGGCAGATCGTTGATGTAGACATTAAAGAGGCTTGGAGATAGGACTGATCCCTGTGGTAGTCCATTCACTTGACTTCTCCAAGAGCTGCTTTTGTCTCCCATATGGACTCGGAATCTTCTGCCATGGAGGAAGAGTTCAACTGTTTCTACGACCCAGCGTGGTAGCACTCTGGATAATTTCAGTAGTAAGCCAGCATGCCATACCGTATCATACGCTCAAAGCAAAGCAAGGACTTGATCGCAGGTACTGCGCCCCTGTCTAAAACCAGCCTGCTCTACTGTGATCTTCTTGTCCAGCTCCGGACTAATTCTCTGTAGAATCAGGCGCTCCAGCATCTTGAAACACACGGACAGCAAGGAAATAGGGCGGTAGCTAGAGGCAATTTTTGGGTCCTTGCCAGGCTTTGGAATGGCAATAACCCTTGCCTGACGCCAGGCACGTGGCATCCTCTTTTCCTGTATTATCTGTGAGTAAAATGTGGCGAGCCATGTTTTTGCCTTAGAGCCCATGTGCATCAAAAACTCGGGCATGATGTTGTCATATCCTGCTGCAGTGCCAGATTTCATACTGCGCAGCACTGACACCAGCTCTGACTCCTTAAATGCTTCAGGGCTATTATTGTCCAGTCCAGCTGCCTTCTGATGGCAGTACTGCCGCCATTCGTCTCGTACTTGCCGTTGGTGTTCCTTCTTCAGTGGAGCTTTCGCTACTTAGAGAAGGTGACTGGCGACGGTGTTTGGGCTGACAGCGGGTCGAGCTTGGGTTGGTGGTTTTTGAGCGGCTCCCAGTCGGCGAATTAGGCTCCAGCTTTTCCGACTGGAATGCGTAAAGTTTAGTTTCCCCGTTATTTCCTCCCATCGACCTAGTCTGGCGAGATCCAGGGATTCGATAAGCTGATCAGCAATGTCTGGGTCTCCGGATGCTTCGTACTCTTCAAGAAGTGCCTGACACTCTTCATCTAAACAAGGTGTGTAGACTGGCCTACAACCACGTGGGATAGACGCTCTTGCTGCCTTAAAGATTGCTCCTTGAAAGCGATGGTATGCTTCTTCAATTGGAATACAGCGAGAGGGAATTGTAACTATGCTGCGTTCCAGTCGGCTGCTGTACAATTCCCAGTCGGCCTTACGGAAATTCCATCGCTTCTTGGGGGAGCTGCGTATGCTGGGCAGCTGGAGCCCTATGTGGATGAGAAGTGGTCTGTGTTGGCTGTGAGGGAAGTCATCAAGTACTGTTTGGCTTGCTGGATGGGGGTGGTCTCCTCTAGAGGTTATCCAGCAGAGATCTGGTGAGTAGTCCTTCTGCCACCTTGCTGAGTGGAAAGTCCCTCGCTGTTTGGCATCGTGAGTCAGCGAAAGATCGTTGTTTGTAGCCCACTCCACCAGATGTTCCCCATCCTCATCCGGTATGGAGTAACCCCATTCTGGGTGGTGGCTGTTGAAATCACCAACAAACACCGCAGGATGTTGAAGAGTTGGAAGCATTCTTTGGTCCCAATGGGCACTGGGAGGTTTGTAGACATTGGCGATCCTATATCCTCCGACCTGGACTATGTCACAGAAATTGGAGGAGGAAACGGGGGAAGCATCGCTAATGTCCGAGCGTACATATGTCGCCCGGCCATATTTGGCATCTGGTGTTGCTGATATGAGGTCGAACTCTCCAATAGTATAGCGACCTTCAACATGTTTCGCTACGTGAGTCTCCTGCAGACAGATTACATCCACACTGTGACGTTTGGCTAAACTGCTGAGGAGTGTTCGTTTGGCTGGTGAGAGGCCCTCGACGTTTAGAGTTAGTACTCGTAAAGCCGGACCAATGGCTAGAAAGTCACTGGGTTCCGGTGCGTCGGGGACTACTGTTTGTAGCACGTGACCGGGATTCATAATGCTAGTGCTAGAATTCGGTCAGCTGGTTGGATCATTCGCAACTCCGTTTCCCAGTTTGTGGCTGGGACGGAAGTTGACAGGGGGCGCGACGTGAACGCTGATCCATTGCCACCACACCAGACTCATTGTTGGCAATGTGGGTGATATTTGGGTGTGGCGCCTGGTGTTCCCCGAGGTATCCTATCACATCATCAGGCCTTTCCCTTCAGAGGTCTGGCGGGATCTGGCTTTCACATGCATGCAAGTACATTGTTTTAGATCAATGAAAGAGGTTGGGAGAGGTGAATGCTTAGCTGGGTCAATGAAGAAATATAAGACATTGCCAGGTGCTATTTTTGTGGAAATGGTGTGGGAAACATTGTTGAATACCAAAGATGCCTTTTCCATGAAAAAGTGTGAGGAGGAGGCAAAATCTGAGATACACTGGCAGGGGTTTTAGATCAATATTGAGATTTAAAATGCTCAAACTATACACTGTATCACTGATGTATTGTAACCAAAGCACAATATCTCTTTCTTCTATAGATACAGCCCTGAACATATTAAAATAACATGTAATCATCAGCCTTCATACTGTTTGAAATCGTTAACTTCTTTGCACCCATGGCGGGCAAATCACCAGGGCCGTTTCCGAACTGTGACTGGAGGTTCAATGAGTTCCCGAACCCCGCGGCCCACGCTCTGCACGTCACCTGCGTGGAGCTGATGGCTCTGGCCGTGTCTGGGAAGGACGTGGGAAACGCCCTGCTCAATGTTGTCCTCAAAAGGTGAGAAATGTCATTAAACCTGGGATGAGTTTTGCACAGACACACAAACAATATTGCTCAACCTCATACATTTTACTGGTACTCACAAGCTCTATTCCAGTTGCATCAAACATGTTTTTGTTTAGCTTTAACTCGTCTCAGTGAGCTCAGATTTGTTTTTGCCTCGATAGACCCAGTTCAGAATAGGATCTAGATGTCTTTAATAGATTACGCTTATCCCGAATAGCCACGTATACGTTTTTCTACCCTTTTTGGAGCAAATTTTTCCCACTTGCATATTGGATAGCTTTAATGCTATACTGTGGACAATTCCAGGATAAACAATAATATTTACAAAAAACTGATCAGGAACAATGTGTTTTTGTTTCATGTTATTTAATAGAGACAAAACATAAAGCATGTGTTTGTATTTCTGGTTTTGAGGATCTGTTATTTGAGAGGAAGCTGTATTGGGTGCATTACCAAATAGAATGGATGTAGATGATTTTAAGTCCCAACTAAAGACACATTTGTTTGGACAGGCTTTCTCGCACCATTGTTCAATTTCTGTGTTTGTTTTATCTGACTTGTATGTGTATTTTGTATTTTAATGTGTGAAGCGCTTTGTGACCCTGGTCTGTGAAAGGCGCTATACAAATAAACTTTACTTACTTACTTACATACTTACTTTAGAGAAGAACTGCACTAAAACACTGTATTGAACTAAAACACTTTGATGGCAATGACTTTTAAAATAAAGTTTAAAGAATTTCATGTTTTATATCAGTTTCAACTGGTGGTTTGCTATTGTTCATGAAAAAGATGTTCACGGCTCATTGAAAGTCTCGATCAGGATATCCACTATAACCGCTAGAACTGATGATCATGGATCATATGTAATCAACTGGTGACACTTCTGTTTCCTTTTCGCAGTCAACCCTTGGTGCCCAGGGAGAACATCACAGCTTGGATGAACGCCATTGGCCTTGTCATCACCGCGCTGCCTGTGAGACAAACTCTGACACTCACTAATGATGCCCCTCAAGTCTGTTCATTTCCCTGTGTCCTGACGTGTCCTGATGTGCCCCTCCCAGGAGCCGTACTGGATCGTCCTTCACGACCGCATCGTGTCTGTCATCAGCTCGCCCGTGTTGACTACGGAGTCTGAGTGGGCGGGCTTTCCCTTCGCCCTGTTGGACTTCACGGCCTGTCACCAGAGCTACAGCGAGATGAACTGCAGCTATGTGCTGGCCTTGGCGCACGCCGTGTGGCACCACTCGTCTATCGGCCAGTTGTCCTTGATACCAAAGTATGTACCACAGCTTGTTATTACGTCAGATGCTGAAATCTACATACACAATATCTTTCATATTTTCAAAATACTATAATAATATTTTTTTATTTAAAAAAAGTTGCAACTTGTATGGTTTTTGTCCATGTCATGTAGTGTCCAACTGTCCTGGTCGTGGCACGCTTTTTACTCATTAGGGCAGGCATGACAAACTCAGGCTTGTGGCCCAAATCCGGCCAGCAAGACAATGAGTTTGTTTTTTTCTTATGCAGAGGTGACAAAGTTTTTACATTGGAAGAAATTATCTTACTTCCCTCAGCTCAAGTACATATTATATCTATGGAGATCTATGAAGAGGCAAGTCTTCTCACTCTAACTCTTTGAGGGCTAAAATATAATTAAAAATAGGATCAAAGACATTTCAAGCAAAGCAATAACTTATCTGTCACAAGAAGCAGATTTGTTGAAACATTCTAATTATTTTCATATTTCACAGTATTCCACACTATGCCTCACATTCTTTTTGTAGTCCAAGCTGCAACGGAAAACGACCAACAACATGTTTCTCTGAGAATAAAGAACACGGAATGGATCGAAATCTCTTTTAGACGTCTCGAGTTGCTTTTACAAAATGTTCCTCTTCTCTGGCAAATCAAATGTCCCTAGGCTAGATGAGGAGAAACAGGCTCTCTGACCGCCAGTGCTTTTGTTGTTTATCAGGTTCTTGTCCGAGACCCTGAAGCCCATCGTTCAGACAGAGTTCCAGTTGCTGTACGTGTACCATCTGGTGGGACCGTTTCTGCAGCGATTCCAACAGGAGAGAACGCGCTGCATGTTGGAGGTGAACTTTCCACTCGTCCAATTCATTATGGGCTGGGCTTGAATCTTGTATTTCATTTTTTAGCACCAGTCAAACGATAAAACAATTAAAAAGAGTCCTAACTGAGCAGATGGGCCCAGATCTCGCCTAAAAACTTGTTCACTTTTTACATATTTTGTGCCTGTGAAGCATTTTGGGCAGCTGGTGTTGTTGTAAATGTGGTATACAAAAAAACCCTGATATTGACATTGGCTGACATAGTATTTAATGTATTATAATAATGTGTTTTTGCCTCGTCTCTGTCAGATCGGAGTGGCCTTTTATGAGATGCTGCAGGCCGTGGACCAGCACTGCAAACACCTCACCTACATGGACCCCATCTGTGACTTCCTGTATCACATTAAATATATGTACACAGGAGACAGCGTGAAGGAGCAAGTGAGTCTTACAGCACCAATCCACTTTATTGAAAAAGCACATATTATTATTAACAAATGGTTTCCAAAGTGCAGCACAAAACCACGGTAAAAAAGTCGTTCAACTTTTCATAGAAAGAACAGGGGTGAATGCAAACGTCTCCGTGGTAACCTTTTTCTAATGCCACATATCCAATGCAGACTTTTAAATGTAATATAAATGTCATGTACCCTATATTAAACAAAAAACAACTGTCTTTTTAGATTTTTACCTGGTTCAATGCTCCACATTATATGGGTTTAGGACTAGTTTATTAGATAAACAGTGCAATTATGTGCCATCATTATTTTATTCATTAGCTGAAGAATAATATTTTGAGGTGAATCTGAATTCATGTAACTTACGGATTGATCTTCAGGCTTTACACAAAGACTATTCATTTGAAATGTTGTGCTCGGAATGATATATTTTGTTTGTACACTAACTTATACACACTTAACTGAATCCACTGTCTTCATATTTTTTTCTTGATTTCCAAAAAGGTTAAATTAGCCTTGTTATAAATTAGTCTTGTTGAGTTTAAAATGTTTGTGGATCTTTTGAAAGACAAGTTAGAAGAATTGTTACTTCTTGAGTAGGTGTGTCCTCCAAGACTGGGAGGACACAAATGAATAGAATTGAACTAATGCTTGTGTTTATCCCAGTGTATGTGTATATTTCCGGTCGCTCCAATGTGCTAGCCTGGCCTTAGCCATCTGTAAACGGTCAATTATTATTTCCCTAATGCAATGAGTACGATATGGTTTGGTAAGAGCAGGCTACCAATGTACCCTTCCCCCTGTGGACCTGAGCCTTCCTCTCTGTCCAGGTGGATCAGATCATCATGACTCTGCGGCCGGCCATGAAGCTGCGTCTGCGCTTCATCACGCACAGCAGCAAAGCGGAACCTTCGGCCTCGGCTGCGGCCTCCGCCTCGTCTGCCCCCGTACCCCCCACCGCTGCTCCTCCGCCCCCCTCCACCACCCCCGTCCCAGTCTCCTCCGCTCCCACCCAGCCGTCCGCACTCACCCCCACCACCGGCTCCCCCTCCCCCGCCTCCCAGCACACGCACACACCCATGTAGCTGCAGCCGGACGCCACCAGAGGCTGTGTGCGAGGACTGAGGGCGTCAATGACTCTTCTGAGCCCATGGGATTCATGTATTTTCAAACTGTCACTTGTGCAAGACAAGTTTTTATACTTTTGATTATGGTAGCGTTGTATGATGTACTTTGTGTACTTCATTAAAAACAAGTGGACTCTTTTTTTATTTGTTATATTCTCTAAGATGCTTCAGTCTTCTTAAAGTGATTCACAACATACATACGTTTCTTTCTAATCTAGTTTTATTTATCTAAGTTCTACTTTAAACAGTAAGTTATTCAATTAGTTGTATATAGGCCTGCAACTATATAGTTTCTTAAAGATACATTTGACATAACTTATTCTAATATGACATCGGATATGCTAATGACACCAAATTATTTAGAATAAAATTAGTTGTTGAATTTACATATCTGTACGTTTCTGCAGTATATAGTCATGAAAGCAGTATCATCCCTAACCTTTTTTATTCTTTGAAAGAAACAAAAGCCATTGTGAATCTTCAGTGGGATGATGAGGGAAAACTTCTGATCTGTGCAAAAGCTCTTGAGCTTGCCTTTTAAAAGAAAAATAATGAATCTCCTATGTGTATATTGGCAGTAGATTTGTGCGGAACTGACCTCAGTGTTCTTCTAATAAGACAAGGCAGCGGCGATTGGACCTCCACCACGGTTTATTTTTGAGTCCCTCCAGATCAAAGAAAAGGAGACGAGGCTTTTTATATGATTTGTAACAATGGTGTCAGAACATCTCTTGAGATATGAAGGATTCACGCTTGAGATAAAGATACAGTTGTAACAATGTGGTCACAACCAATGCGTTCAGTTCTTCAGATAACGATGATTACCAGTAATACAGATATATCAGGGGTCCTCCGTACAAAATATGCAGATCCGAAATCACAGACCAAGAGTAAAGAAGCTATGGTCATTCAAGAACAATTAAAGCCCTAAACATAAACGAGACATAATTAACTTTCTACATTTAAACATATTTATGAATCTGTTTATTCTACATTGTATAAAGCCACAACTACTCAAGTGCCGTTTGAAAACAAGAATATCCAGCATTATCCCAGCTAATGCTCACTAATTCTGTTGGCCGCAAACACAAGGATTATCTGTTCTCCAGGAAAAGTTTTTTCCCTTACAAGTTCACATCATCTTGGCAAAGCTAAAGGAGATCTAGATCATTGATATTGATATTGATAGGATTCTTGTGTTGGTACAAAGATTAAAACCTATTTCTCCAGTAACATTTTTAACAGAATGATATTAAGTATCATATTTTGATCCAGTTTTTACCTTACTTTTTACATGTGAAAACCCTTTGAAATAACTTGCTTCGCACTGCTGCCTGCAGGGGGCGTGGTTTCCCTCTTCTAGTTGAATAATCAGTCTGTTTTCAACTCCATCACTTAAACATTTTAATGCATGGCTATTATAATTGGCAGTGCGCCCAGAACACTTCAACAGCCTGAGTCAGATCTGGGACTAGTGCCACCATCGCTCTGGAAGACCGCAAACCCCTCTGAGGGCAGTGAATTTGTTGAGTTTTGTAAATCAAATTGTAATTGAAGTGCAACCACAAGAGAATATAGGGGGAAGAGAGAGACAATGTAGCTTGATATAAATGGATTTACGTGTTCATTCATCAAGTTCGACTGTGTGGAAAGACATCTATTTGTTCTTGGCACAAACAATTTAGATTAAGTGCTTGGCTGCAGCTGTTATTTATATATTATACAGTGATGCTATAATACTCAGCAATCATTCCACACAAAGTAACAAATACCAGTTTAATTACTTCTTTACATTTTACATAGATAATACTTTTATATCAAGCCGCTGTTAAATATATATATGTCTAATGCTGATGCTATAATACTCAGCAATCATTCCAGCCACATAAGCAACATATCCATAGAGAGATAGTTTAATTACTTCAATATAATCTACCTTGCTTTTCTAAGATAATACTTTCCTCCATAATGTTCTCATCCATCACACATTCTAGCATGTTGAGTGCTCTTTTGTCTCTCTCCGACAGCAGTGAATTCTGATATTATAATTTGCCCCCATTAAAGTTTCATGAACAGCAGGTCAACTGTGCCTTAATCATAACTCCATCACTGCCACTGCCCTGTGTAATCCCATTCTCCTCCAGTATGTTAGTGAGTCATATCGACGATCTGCTGAGATGTAGGTCAGGCCCATAGCACGGGTCTCCAGATTTAGCTGTGACAAAGGTACAGTATATCTTGAAGCTGAGGCACCGAAGCTTTCCCATAAATAATACATTTTTGTTTATGGCCAGAGGAAGGGAAAAACATTGTGTACAAATTCAAACCTGCTGTCTTCGTCCAATGAGTCTCCTATGATCGGCTGAGTGGTTTCTCCTTGTTCTGCACTATTGCAATAACAAAGGATCCAATTCTAGCTCTAGCATTGTTTAGAGACATTCAAGGCTTTTGCAAAGTATGGATCAATATCAATTCAATGTTTTCCTCTATCCTATTGTAAAACATTCAAATTCCGGGTATTTCTTCACTTCTTATCAGTTGGAGGTATTTTACTTATTTAAGGAATCTGAATACCTTGGGTCCTTTATCTTTTACCCATTTCACCTGTAGGTCTCACATCTCCATCATGAATTATGTATAGGCCTCGGTTTTATCTCATTCATTGCTGACTGAATTTGGCGGTTTTGAAGTCTTGCAAGACATCGGTAACAGTCCATGATTTGGCAACATAGTTTTGACGTTACAAGCCACACTCAGCCACGTATTGGCCAATCTTATTTTAAAGCTTAGTATTACATTTCACATATTTCTATAAATAATTTAGTGCTGGGAGAGTCCCTTGTGATTCTTTTGTTTTGCTTTTTCTTTTTTATAAATAAAAAACGCTCCATAATTTCAATTATTTACATTCCATACACAGTGGATGTGTTGTCGTGTGACTGATTTAACATAACAAAACAAAACATGTTTTATTTGAATACAGAATAACCTTTAGAGGCATCTTTCATGATAGGGAGGATCACCATTACAGAGTATCTCAGTGAGTGGAGCCACTCTCTGGAACAACTTACCAAATAAAATAAAAACATATCCATTATGTTTCTAAAAACTGAGTAAAAGAGCAGGTTCGGAACCAAATAGTTTCGTTCAACCTCTTTTCAATCTTTATGTTTTGTTTCTAAGGTCCTTTATTCGTCCCACAATGGGGAAATTTCAGTTTGATGCATACACATACACATGCACATACACATACACATACACATACACATCAAGGCAAGCAGCGAACATCACTTCCGCGCTCCTCATAGGCAAAGTGAGTTCAGTGTCTTGCCCAAGGACACAACGACATCAGTGGAGTCAGTGGAGAAGGTCTCGTGGTGGGCTCAAACCTATTATATATCCATGGCTTGAACCCACGACCTTTGGGCTCAAAGGCCATTGCTCTACCAACTGAGCCACTGTCGCCCCACTGTTCTACTGTATTCTTCTTTGTTCTCTGTACTGGTAATGTTGCATGAAATGTCAGTGTGAAATACCATCCATCCATCCATTTTCTTCCGCTTTATCCGTTGCCGGGTCGCGGGGGCAGCAGTCTAAGCAGAGACGCCCAGACTTCCCTATCCACACACACTTCCTCCAGCTCGTCCGGGGGGACCCTAAGGCGTTCCCAGGCCAGCTGAGAGACATAGTCTCTCCAGCGTGTCCTGGGTCTTCCCCGGGGCCTCCTCCCGGTGGCCCCGGGAGGAGGCCCCGGGGAAGACCTAGGGGCCTCCTCCCGGTGGGACGTGCCCGGAACACCTCCCCAGGAAGGCGTCCAGGAGGCATCCTGAACAGATGCCCGAGCCACCTCAACTGGTTCCTCTCGATGTGGAGAAGCAGCGGCTCTACTCCGAGCTCCTCCCGTGTGACCGAGCTCCTCACCCTATCTCTAAGGGAGCGCCCAGCCACTCTGCAGAGGAAGCTCATTTCGACCGCTTGTATCCGCGATCTCGTTCTTTCGGTCATTACCCAAAGCTCATGACCATAGGTGAGGGAGGGAACGAAGATTGACCGGTAAATCGAGAGCTTTGCCTTTCGGCTCAGCTCCCTCTTTACCACAACGGTCCGATACAGCGACCGCATCACTGCGCACGCTGCACCGATCCGCCTGTCAATCTCACGCTCCATCCTTCCCTCACTCGTGAACAAGACCCCGAGATACTTGAACTCCTCCACTTGAGGAAGGACCTCTCCACCCGCCTGAAGAGGGCAAGGCACCTTTTTCCGGTCGAGCACCATGGCCTCGGATTTGGAGGTGCTGATTCTCATCCCAGCCGCTTCGCACTCGGCTGCAAACCTATAGAGCTGGTCCAGTGTTCCGCGACCGGGACGAAAACCACACTGCTCCTCCTGAATCCGAGATTCGACCATCGGACGTAGCCTCCTCTCCAGTACCTTGGAGTAGACCTTACCGGGGAGGCTGAGGAGTGTGATCCCACGATAATTGGAACACACCCTCCGGTCCCCCTTCTTGTAGAGAGGGACCACCACCCCGGTCTGCCACTCCATTGGTACCGCCCCCGATCGCCACGCGATGCTGCAGAGACGTGTCAGCCAAGACAGTCCTACAACATCCAGAGTCTTTAGATAGTCAGGACGGATCTCATCCACTCCCGGCGCCTTGCCACCATGGAGGCTGCCAACCACCTTGGTGACCTCGGCCAGGGAGATGTAAGTATCCGCCCCAACATCCTCAGCCTCTGGACGGAGGTCAGTGTGAAATAGATAATTAAAATTAGTATTAGTATTACATTCATGGATTTTCATGGAAGAAAAAAAAAAAAAATTGGCTGATGAGAATTCCAAATATATCAAATTGATCATTCCCTCTCCGTTTGAAAGGAAAAGCCGGAGTCATGAGAAAGTGCCGTCACAGCCGGAGCATAAACAGAAAGCCACATATGCACAAATGTCCATCA